TGAGAGCATCAACGCTCTCTTTTGGTTTTTGCAATGTGTGCGTGTGTGCTTGCAGTTGCTTTAGCTTATGCTCTAGGCGGGTGGGGTGGGGTGAGATGGCCTGTGCATTGATGCGATCATCAGCAAAGAAAAGGTTTATTAATTTGATGACCTGAAGGGGAGGGGGGGAACAGCTAAGAAGGTCTTTTAAATATCGCACCTTCGCTGAGAGGATTTCAAGCCGGCAATATATCCATCGCGTTTCCTCTCTTCTCTTAACAGTGCAATGAATCGAGGCTGAGAAAAAAGCTAAGAGCGTCTTTGCTTTTGCAATGTGGGTGCGTTTTTTGTTGTTTCTATCGTCTATTGTGGTATGGGGAGTGCGTGGCTGATATTTTAAGCGTGCAAGTTTCTATTCCAGTTAATCCTCTCTTCTAACTTCACGTGTTGTGGGAGCAATGAACTGAAGCGGGGGCGAAATGTTAAGAGCGCAGCTTTGCTGAGAGGAACTTTTTCAATGTGTTTCGCTAACTCTCTTTCGGGTCTCAGCACTACGGTGAGGGCTGTGGCACCATTTTTGATGAGAAAGAGAAGAACGAAGTGTGCAAAATAAGAACCGTAAAGAGAGCGCCTTGTATAGTTTCGGCATGCTGCTTGTCTTCTTCCGATCAACAGAGTGTGGGAGTGAGAGTGAGATGGAGTGACTGGTGAGAGAGTTGCAGTGCGCGTTGTGGGTGCAGTGAAATGAATTGATCTCTCTTTGCAGTAGCAGAGGAAGAGATAAGCATAAGCAAAAGTAGCCGGCAAGCAGGTAAATTTACAGATTTAAGTATTGGTGACAGGTTGGAGGTGAAGCTCCTTTAAATTCATTGATCCCCGTAAGGGAAGTCGAAGCTGAGTAAACAAATATCGATTTCTCTTATGTTTGCAACGAAGTAGATTTAATTTGCAGTGTATTCGAGCGTGGCCCGCCTTGACGGTCGTACAAAGGCGAGGAATGTGAGCTTCCAATCAATTTCAAAGTCATTTATTACAAATTTTAAGTGCAACCCTAATGTTAATCAAAATGGAATCCCATAAAAACAACAACAAAGACTTCTTATCGGCAGCCACCAGGCGGCACTCGCACTGCTCCCTTTTTGCCATGGGCGGGGTGAAGGGAGGGGGGGAAGGGGGGCGTCAGAAGCAGATCTCAAGGAGAAAGGTAATGGTTCTTCATATTTCAACGTCACAACGGCATCGTCATCATTTTTCTGCGGCCAACGCAACGGCGATGACATTCACAGTTCTGCATAAATTTGTACCCGATAAAAATTTCAAATGTTTTCATCAAATCATTTTCGGTGAGCGGAGACGAGACCCACACTCAGACCCAGACCCAGGAGTGGAGGAGGTCTAGTCGACTCGAGTCGTCATCCATCATTAATGGAGCGCACGAGGGCTGAAGGAGTTGAAACGGCAACTAAGCGCCAGGGGCTACTGTGGGCGAGGTGGGGGGGCGGGGTGGACGTTGGGAGCAGCGCTGAAATGTTGACGATGACATTACTTTTTAATGACTTTGACTTTCTGCAGCAATTGCTGTGCGTCTGGCCACCCCAAGCCCCCCCCTGCCCCCTGCCCCCCTGCCCCGCCATATCCATTGCTCCTGGTCCTGGTCCTGGTCCTGGTCCTGGCCTTTGTTTCGTTTTATGAGCCTCATTGAAGACGCTGGGCGTTCGCTCAGATTTTATACCCCCACTTTTTATGGATCTTTCTTTAAATTTGTGACCTTTTCTGCTTTGATTTCTTTGTGAACAAAGATACAAAGATACAAAGATACTCCTGCACTTCCCCAAGCTCTTCTCGCCTACAGGGCAACCCTTGAACAAACAAAACACACAGTTTGTAAGGGAATCTGCCACATACGAGTATGCAGCCCTCGACGGGTCCAAAGTTCCCTTTGGCAAAACCTTTACAAAGCCGAAAAGTGAAATTGAATATGGAAACTGGAGCGATTCAATATTGTGGCACGCTTCAACGTCTGGCCTGCCACTGCAATTAAAGTGTGTAGCACCCCCCGCACCCTTCCCCCTCATGGAGGCGGCACTTAAATATGACGGCCACTTCTGTGCAAGTTTTTTGCAATATGCGATCCCCCGCCCCCCCGTGACCCCCGTGACCCCGGTAAGCTACTCGAAGCTCGGCCTTCCGCTTTGGGAGTCAGAGGCTGAAACCGCCGTCGGCTGACGGCTGCCAATATTCATATAATATTTTCACAGCGAAATATTTTCTGCTCATAAAAGAAAATTGACTGCGAAAATTGTTTTCACCGACGCGCTTGCAGCTCCACTACCGCCCGCCGCCCACCGCCCACCGCCCGCCGCCTCTTGGATACCGCCGCTGCAATTCTCCGGCGGAGCGGGGGCTTTGTTTGCTTTTTTGCGTGTGCATTTTTACTTTTTATGTGTGTTATTTTGCATGCATCAGAGCGTTATTAAATTCCGTGCTCCCCCCGGAACACAGTGGAGCAGAGGGGGAGAGGGGGGGAGAGAGAGACGCCACCCGGTATCCGGCATCCGGCAGGCGTCTCATTTAACCGCAAGCTCCTTCTCATAAAAGCCACAAAATAAAAGCCCAAGACGAGCAGAAACATATACTCGAGCGCACGCCCCCCGCCCACCGCCCCCCCCGCCCACGCCCACGCATCCGTTACCCCATGCAACCGCCCATCAAATTCGGGACATTGTTCCGCGCTGAATACCCAATTGCGATGTTTGGCTCTCCTTTCCTCTCCTTTCCTCTCTCCGTTCCCACGGAGCTTTGCAACTCCGCCCGCAGAATGTGGGACACTCCGCTTCTGGCCCGATGCCTTTCGCCTTGCCTTTCCTTAAAGCCTGCTAGCAGCTTCTTCGTTACCTGTTCTTCGGTAACTAATCCAAGCTAAGAAAAGCTTAGAGGTAGTTCTTCTATTAAGCCGGAGAGAGCCCGTGAGTTAAGGCTTGGAAGGGAGGCCTGTTCCCAGGATCTTCTAGGTTTGGCTTCTACTCTTGTAGAAGAAAAAGATGGTAACAGCTCACACTAGACCTATATATTGTGGTAGGATAACCCCTATCAGCCGATAAGGCATCCCTAGATAAATAATCCACAAATGTACGGCCACTCTAGGAAAATACCAAAGATACGGCCACATAAAGAGTAGGTAGAACGCGCATCAGGACAATAAAGTCGTGTTCGGAGAAGTAAAACATCCAAAAAGTATTTATATTACACCCTCACCATACACCACATATATAGAACAGGGCAGATGGGACTGATCTTCAAAAGATCTTAAAAGCCCAGTTCCTGAGGGGTACTCTCATTCGGTAGAGTCCTCATTGGTATTGATTATTATCCATTTTGCTTATTTACATAGCTTAGGAGTTCTGTGGAATAATGACTAATCGAATATAGGAGCTCTTCTCCCTTATTGCCTTTCTATATAGAACACCTGTCGGGGAGGGCCAACCTCTCATTTCTTCAAATACTTTAAAACTTTACAAAAATTATAGAGTTTTCCCAAGACCCCTGTCTACGAGTATGTTCCGCTGAAACTAATACATTTCCTTTAAAATTATCATATAATTCCTGCATTAAGTACTTTAATATTCTAGCTAGGTTTAAAAGCATTGATAGGTACGAAAGTAGAGTACAATTTGGTTTGTTTTTGTATATTTTTGAAGCGAATCTAGCCAGCGAGAGACCTTTGCTTACCCAAACCCAAAACACTAACAAGAGAAACCCCTTGGCTTTAGGACTAACTCGTATTTAACAGGCTCGTATGTTAAAGCACCGTCAACTTAACATATTCCTGTCCGTTAATTCAAAACCACTGTTAAGTGCGCCTTAACAGAAGCATAAGTCTGTTAGTTTGCAGGAAATGTAAACTTCCCCGCTGGCAGCCTTAACCGTTAGCACAGTTTTCGCTCTGTAATCAGTTTACAGACTGTTAAGCAGGCCACATGTTGTCTTAACAGTCTGGAAATAACATAGTGGCGCTGTCGCAAGCTGTTAAAAGGGAAGAGAATAAACTATAATAAAACAATAAGTAAATATAACGAAAAGTATAGCTGGATATAAAAATATCGAAAGAGTTAATTGTGTTAATTTCACTACCGCCCACTTGAGCAAAATCTGCTGTTGAGTCTTGTAGGAATTTAATTGCTTAACTGCTATTCAATTGGGGAGCAGGTGATGGATGCTCACCTTTCAACTGGCCAGCAAATTTGCAATAAATACAAATTTCAGTGTACCTCGATAAACACATGCAATGCAATTCATCATTCAGACACACACACAATGAAAGAGAGGGATAGGGATCGGAATCTCTTTTGAAAAGGACAAAAACCCACCGCCCCCCCGCCACCAAAACGTCCCATTAACAGAAAGCCAATGCACAAAAAGTCAGCTTCCAGGGGCCCAGCCAGGGGTGGGGCTCCTCCCAGCATTGCCGGAGCCAAAAAGCGAATGTCAACACTATCAATCATCGCTTTGACAGTTTGAGTGCTTGTTTTAGTATTTGTGCTTTTGATTATGTGACGTACTCCTCCTCCACACTGCCACACGTGGAAAGCTCACACTCGTACGTGCATCGGGGGGCGCATCAATTGATACACTTACAACAAATTGTTTGTACGGGCACACGTGGGCGTGGCCCTGCCCTGCCCTGCGGATTGGCTGTGGCCTGGCCTGGGGCTGTGACGGGGGCCACTTGATTGATGGAGCCACCGACCCGAGCCATTTTAAACCAGAAAATGGCTCCCCGCCCTGCAGACCGAACTGTGGGATACCCTTTCGAGGTGGTTTTCGTTGTAGTGCGCCAAGGATCGAATCCTTTGGTGGTGTACCTCCTCCAAGGGTATCCCAAACAAATTGATTGTGCAGTCACTCACACTCATGCACTCATGGGTGTACTGCTGATTATAGTAATTTAATTTCTTCGAACAACAAAACAAATTTGAACAACAATTTAAAAACAAAGAAACAAAACAAAATTGAAAAAGGGAGAAAGGGTAGAGGGAAAAAGGAAAATGGAAGGCCCCTCCCCATTAACGTGGCGTAATGCTGAACGGGCTGGGACGAGCCCGGAACGTGGTCAACTGGCGGTGCTTCTGGTAGTCCTCACGCTCCTTACGGAGGCGCTGCTCCTCCTGCTGCTGGCGACGGGCCTCCTGCTTCTGCGAGGTCTGGGCATTGAAGAGGCGCCGCTTCTGGACACGCTTTTCGGCCGACAGATTGAAGGGCTTTATCTGAAGGCGAGGCTCGGCCAGGGACTGGCTGGGTAGAGGCTTCAGAGCTGGACGCGAGGACTCCAGCTCCAGCTTGAGCCGCTGGCGGCGCCTCATCTCCGCCGGAGCTGAGTTCTTGAGCACGTTGGGGGTGACCGGCTGGGTAACACGGTGGACGGCGGGCTTGGCCGCCTGGCGCTCGTGGAGCTGCCGAAAGTTGGGCACTGGACGGCTGTGGAACTCGCGCTGCTTGCGCTCCGCCTCGAGGCACTTGCGCAGTTGCTGCTTCTTCCTGCCCTCGTAGATGTCCTTGAAGCGGTACGCCTGGGGGGTGTGGCAGCCGGCCTTGGCCACCTCCTTCTCCTTGCAGGCCTGTGGCAAGGGCTTGAACGTCCAGTCTGGCTGATCCACACCCGTGTCGCCCCAATCGAGTTCCATTTTCACATCAGACATTTTTACTTTTTTCACAACGATTTTACGGATTTATTTTGTATTTTTTTGTTTTTTTTTCGAGATGTGCTTCCTTTCAAAGCCCGACTGTTTATGACGAACGGGTGGGGTTCCTGTTACGTCCAATTAAAGGCCTACTTCCAGGCCTGCTTTGGGATTGGGTTACCTTTTATTTGAATCAGCTCGTAGGAGAATATGTTATGTAAAGTGTCTCGGACTGACAGCCTGTGGTATGTCCTGCACCGACAAAGGGACCGAGAAGGAGGGCTAGGGATGGGGATGGAGCTGGGCTTCGCAGTCGGTTGGCGCTGTCAGTTTGCTGTCCAACTGTCTGTCCCCGTCAGTCCGGGACGTCTATGTGGTGTCAATTTGATTGCAAAGGTAATTCAAATAATCTCATCATACACATTCCGGCTGTCTGTCCACCGCCATCCACCTCAGCCCCCTTCCAGCATCCCCCCCTAACCCCCGCTGTATGTGTGACAACTTCAAAGGGAGTGCCTCGAACAAATCAAATTTAATTTCACATGTTTTTTGCAACAATTTCATTTTCAGCTTGGATTTGATTAAAGAGCACCTACCTCTCTGTAATTGAATTGATTAAAAGATGGAATTTTAGAGTGTGAAAAGTATGTATATATTTTACATGCTCGTACAGGGAGGTCCTTGGGCCTGGCAGGGAAGGATAGCTGGTTTATTTGGCACCCAACGAAATGGAGCAAGCCCTTGGAGTACTAATTGAAAGACGCGATTTTGTAACCGATGGATATACGGGTATATAGAGAGTAGAGCGCAAAAATCGAACTTGTCTGAGAAGTAGACCAATGATCTGCTGGTTTCCTGGAGCTAAGTATGCCGTCTTCTAGCCCTTTGGTGACAGTCTCTGGCTCTTTATCATCTATCCAATCCTACCACCAATAAGCCACAAAGAAATTCTGAGATATACGTTTTATAGTGAGATCTAACAGAAGTGCGGATACCAAATTTGGTTACTCTAGCCTTAATAGTCTCTGAGAATTGTGGTTGCCCCAGATTTTCGCCCTTTGTGGGGGCGGAAGGGGGTGCGGCGAAATTTTGACTAAAAACGGTCAAGGTCCGATATCACAGGAGTGTGGGTACCAAATTTGGTTGCTCTAGCTCTTATGGGTTCTGAGATCCTTGAACTCATATTTTGCAATTGGCAAAGCCGACCATGAAACCTGTGTGTTAGAGTGAGACAGAGCGAGAAAGAGTGAAATTGTTTTCGTGATTCTGGTTATAATAATTATACGATCTGGTTCAGATTTTGCACTCTGTAAGATATAATCATCTTCTACGATTCTGCGTTTTTAGTTTTCTCGTATCGTTTAAATTGTAGATGCCACAGATTTTCACCCTTTGTGGGGGCGGAAGTGGGCGGGGCAAAGTTTTGAAATATTTTTGTAGCAGTGACATATCACAGAAGTCTGGATCCAAAACATCGTTGCTCTAGCTCTCATAGTCTTTGAGCATTAGGCGCTGAAGGGGACGGACAGACGGACGGACGGACAGACGGACAGACGGACAGACAGACATGGCTCAATCGACTCGGCTATTGATGCTGATCAAGAATATATATACTTTATGGGGTCGGAAACGATTCCTTCTGGACGTTACACACATCCACTTTTACCACAAATCTAATATACCCCAATACTCATTTTGAGTATCGGGTATAAAAAAAAAACTAAGTCTATTTGATATAAATGTATTCTTCCCAAAACTAAGAAAAAAGGTCTAGGCATAAAATATGCACCAAATAAAGAACTGATTTCTATGACTGAAGCGAGTTTTTCGAGGAGCAGAACCCCCAAAGGTGTGGATTTTATCATGCCAGAGGGTGTAAGGTCTGACCACGCGAACTCTATTGACTGGAGGAGTCAAGGGGGGGGGGGGGGGGGGGGGGGGGGGGGGGCTCTTTGGAGAGTGTTGCCCCTAATTATGCCATTAACTGGAGTTTGTTTTGCCTATGCTAGAGGCTTTCACACACTCTTAATAGAAAAAGTAGGAAAAGTTTGGTAATCCAGAGGAAGAAAGAGCGGAATCCACTTGAAGGGGGTTGGAAGTTGCCCACAACTCACCCTGAAATACAACCAGACTGATTAGAGCCATCGCAGATACGAAAGTACTCGCACATGTGGACTGGCTTCGGGAATGATAAGTTTTAAAAGGCTCTGGCCGGAGCCCCACACTTTGCTTACAAAATAAAAGTTTGGCCTTGTATCTCTGAAGTTAACAATGAGCAGGGCAGGGCAGGGCATCCTCACAGATACACGAGATACTCGAGTGACGGAGAGCTGGAGAGGCGGAAACTTACGGACTGATAAACGTGCCTCACAAACAGAAACCAAAAGTTATCCCCAAAACTTGCCGCAAAACAAAAACTCCTTTGCCCTATCTCTGCGATAATTGCTCCTTTAACTAGGATATTTTTTTCCGTTTTTTCCTCTGCCACTGGCGGACATGGAGGTGGCCCCAGTCCCAGTCTCCCCCCACTCGTATATCCCCTTGATTAATTTGTACCAAGGGGTTGGGGGTTGGGGGTTGGGGGGCTGGCTCTTTGTGTATTATCTTTCAGTTTGCAATTAGTGGCTCATTTAAAAGAGATTTGCTGCAGCGACTTTTGCTGATTAGATAGCGAGTCCGGGTCCAGATAGAGTGCGGGTCTGCCACCCGAAATGATTGAAACTCGAACCGACTGGGCTGGCCCTGGAGTGGGTTTTCGGGTGGGAGTGGGGGGTGGGGGGTGGGGGGTGGGAGCCTGCACAATGCCGCCAGCCAAGCGAACCGGTTTACCGTGCAAAACATTAAACGCAACGACTTTTCCTCCTCGCATTCTTCTCGAATCATTTAACCCGAGCGCCATTTCCATAAAACGAAATTATTAAAACTGTTCATTCGCTCGGGTCTGACGATGTGAGAGCTCATGTGTGTCCGTGTGTGTGCCACCCCACCCCCGCCCCCCCCAAAACATCCACCCGCCCTGACATTATTATTGAGCCCTACACTGTACAAAAGAGAAACTTTAAATTAAATGGAAAAATGCCTGTGCCCTCGAAATGTGGGAGGCTAAAACTGTTTACAGGGCCCTAAAATATTCATTAAAATTAACTTTATCGGTATTCCCCGTGCGGAATCGTAGGGAATAAAATTAATTGCGCTCACTGGAAATTGATTATTGAAAGCTGAGCTAAATATTGATCCTCTTAACATTAGTTTGTACAAATACAACTAATATTTCGACCTAGAATCCGGATGGGTTTCCATTGCAACACGACAAAAAGCGATCCACTCCGCGGGGCAACGGTCGGGATTCGGCGCTCTCCCGACTCATTTTTGCGCTACACTCTCCGAGTAGTGCCAAGCCATCGCTCTAAGTCACGCATTTTCTGCGACGCAATTACCATGTCGCTCTTTCTCTTTCTTACCCACACTCATGGCCGCAGAGGAACAAGCTCAACGCGCGCTCTCTTCTGCTTGTCGCTTTTGATCCTCTCTGAGCGAGTCGTCGCTCTCGCTCACTCACATCTACACAGCATTGGGACAGACAGCGGACGAGTATAAGCATGCACAGCATTCGGTCAGGCGGTGCACAATAAGAAACGGTAAATCGTAAAGCAGGCAATGGAAGAGAACCCTATGAAATGGTATGCGGCTCAGAATGCACTGAGAATAATATTAGGATCCGACACACATACATATGTATGGACATATATTTAAGCCTCGTACAAATATCCTATAATAGCTTATGGATTAATTTTTTTTAGTATCTATAAAAAATATTGATTAAAGGAAAATGTTCGACAGTACTAGGTGGTATATCCCGCAGGTATACATAGGTGGTGAGTCATTTCATGAGAAGTAGACAGTTTTTTGCAGTTCCGGGTCCGTGCTCTGGCTATAGCTGTAAGTAGGACCTAACCGATCAGGATACTAAGGAGAGATGAAAGACCCATGAGAGACAACACACCCTCGGATTTAAGGGTTTAATTTAATTAATTTAATGTATTTTGTATTTTTTTATATATGTAATTACATATTTATGTCATTTTATATATGTAATGAATGGATGCTTAATGCTTTATTGCCGTCTTGCAGTCACGGATAAAAGTAGGAAAAGTTGTCTGGAGGAACTCAACATTTCATCATTATTCAAACATTTATACCCGAATAAAACTAGAGCTCATCAGCACTCATCACAGTAACCCATTGAAGCAACAAATCAAATGAAATAAACAACCTGTATTTAAATTTATGTCATGGCAATGTTTCGAGGATATTGGAAGTTATTTTTTGTCAAATTAATCAAATTTGCAATTCATGAAGTTTTCACATTATTTCGGCCACAAGCCACAGTTTCGTACACATCATTTACATACAGGGGTATTCAAATCAACATTTATCCAGAGGAAAAGCGAACCAAATCAAACACAAAATCAAATTCCACGGCGGATTGTTAGAGTCGCAGATGAGACGGAATGAAATGTGTCAGGACATCAATTAATGAATTTGCGACAGGGACAGCGACAGGGACGGCGACAGGGACAGCGACAGGGACGGCGACAGAGCCAGCGACCATATTGTCAATCATAATTATTGATTGTCCATTACGACTTTAATTTATTCATACCGGACCGAAAGTGTTCGTGCTGAAAGGCGATAAAGAATCGATTAAAATGTTTGTTGGGGACATCCATTCGCCGTTCGCTATTTATGGGACACCGAATGGACACCGAAATAGTTCTGATAGATGGCTGACACGCCCTCGGAGACGCCCTCGTGCTCGGCTGACATTAGGGACATTTTACATTCCATCTATTTTGGTAATTTATGACACTGCTTTGCCGGGATTATTTATGGCAATTAATAATCAGCGCCACCTTCTGCACCGTTTTGGGGCGTTGCCCGGTGGAATGCAAATTTAATTTGTACGTCGTGTCAACTGTCCGGGTCGATTCTCGTTCCCGTTGCCATTCACCACCGCCGCGGTGGCCGGTGACCAAAGCCAAGGGCCAAACA